CACATAGAATTATCTATAAATATTAAACAAGTTTTTAAAATGTTTGCTGAAAATTATTGGTGATTGTATTTAAACAAAGTTTTTTGTTTATTTTTTTATTTTTTATTTTTTAGGTGCCCCAAGAAGACAAGACCTAACGTTTTTATCACAGGGCATTCCGGGAAGAAAAATATTTTTAACTTTTCAACAATTTTTTAAAAAATGTTTTAATAACATTTAGTTTTTTAAATGTCCAGTTTTTTGAATTGTATTGCTATGGAAGTTTTTAAAATTTGATATTTAAATTCAATATTTTATATGAATTGAATTTATGAAAAATACCCATTGGGCATGCGTCGTCCGAAGGACGTCTTAAGCACGTTACATTTAAGTCGGTCCATCCCGGTACATAAATGTAACGTCCTAAGGACGTCCTTTCGTCTCTTAACTAATTAATATAAAAAAGACGTCCCCAAGACGTCCTATTTACATAACATAACGGACTTAAATGTACCGACCTATTTCTTTTATAACAGACAGCCTTAAAAAGAATGCACTGAAGGTACACTTAGTGTTAATAGACCAAAAAAAATTTAGCGCATGCGTATATATGCCGAAACTTCACCGTTGTGCTAATGTACCTTCAGTGCATCTTTTTTTTTTTTTTTTTTTTTTATATGTATTTAGGTGCTCCCAGAAGTCCTTACGGTCATATCATAGAACACCGCGGGTGAGCATTTAGCGGGAAGTTTACGCCTCCTTCCGTACCAATGTCGCTTGTTGGGCTAGAGCTGGCATCGAACCTCGGACCTCTGAGTTCTGAGCCAGAACTCTAACCACTGCGCCACGGCCGCTCCAATTATCTTCTTTAGGACTGTCCTTCAAACACCTTTATCACAGTGTATTTATTCGTAACATTGAAATAAATGAAAACGATACTCACCAAGATTTTGAGCATGTGTTGAGTATGATTGTTTTATGTGATTTCATACGTTTTTTATTTAATATAAATAAATATATGTATATATTATAAATACACATATAATAAACGCAAAAGTTAATTGCCGGCAGTGCCGGCAAATGATTCAAAGATTAATTGCCGGCAAGATAATTGAAAATTTAAAGTTAAAAACTGCATAATGTCGAATGCTTGCGTAGCTCAGTGGATATGATCATTTCCTATGAGAGCAGCGACCCAAGTTCGTAGCTGCCTGTTAATTTCCTTTTTTTCATGAAAATTTATGTTTTGTTTTAAACAGTATTAGTTTTGATTAGTATTACCCATTATGAGTGTTTATTAATTTTTGTTTATTAATAATTACCATTTATTATATTTATGTTTAATAGGTACCTCAAAGTGTACATACATCAACTAATATAGTTGCAGGTGAAGCAGTGTATGCTTACAATTAATTTAGGAATAAGTGCTGCAAAATCTAAATACAAAGACTGACTTGAATAGGAATGGGCAAACTCAAGTGTACAAACCACCAACTGACTTTGATAGGGTTAAACCTGTATAGAGTGTACATAGATTGAATGAGGGTTTGGGTTTTGGAAGGCAGTATATGATTAAAAAAAAAAGTCTTTGTTTTTTTAATACTGGTATAAAAAAGATATAAAAGTAAATTAAATAAATAATTATATATATAAAATAAATAAATAGATACAAACATAATTTAAATTGTTTTTCTAACACCAAAACTAACAAACTAACCAAATCACTGTACTTACTACATTCAAATTGTTTCCTTACACGCGCTGCCGGCAATTAATCTCAAAACTATTTGCCGGCACTGCCGGCAATTACCACTAGCCTATAATAAATGAATAAAAATGATACTGAGTATCATTTTTATTCTTTTATTATATATGTATCATATACGTATTATATATGTATCATATATGTTTCATATATAATACATATATATCATATTCACCAAGGTTTTGAGCATGTGTTAAGTAAGATAAGAAGATTGAAAAACTTAATAAGTTGATTTATATAATACAAATATAAGTATATACACACATACTTATATTTACTTGTATCTAACTAATCACTTGCATCAGTTATCGATTTTACTGTCATTAGGGTTGCCATATGGTAATCACTGAAAAAGAGGAGATTTTACAGTGGCAGGTTCTAAGAGGGGGGGGGGGCATGGGGTAGCAGCCTTTCCCATCCCCCCCTGCCTTAGGACGTTTTTTCAAAAAATTCTTTTGTAATTGACTATTATACAGAATTGGACTACTATACTGACAAATAAAGTTGACTATTATACGTATTTATACGTATATGAACTTGATTAGTACACTAAAGTACAAAAAATTAAAAATAAACTTAAAAATGAAAGTATGCAGACTTTTTTTTTGTTGACCTTTTTAGTCCCCTTCTTGGCGATTGACATAACCCGCCCCTGATTTTACAATACGTGTTAAATGAATGAGAATTCTTATTATTTAGCTAGGCATTACCAGAGTGGACCCCTTTTATGAGAATTAAATAAATAATAACCCCTTTTTTAATGTAATTTGTTTTTTTAACACAAATTGATAGTTTTGCAATTAAAGTTAACTAATTTTAATTGCAAAACCAGCAATTTGTTGAAAAAATTTCATGTGTCAATTAAAATTAATTAACCAGTTAACTAATTTTAATTGACACATGAAATTTTATTTGCAAAATGTTTACATTTAATTTTATTGCTGTCTTACAATTATTGATTTTCTATGAATTAAGTCTTATTAGTTATTCTATATTAAAATATACTATACTATATATACCATTGTTCACTTGTATCTAACTAATCACTTGAATCAGTTATGAGTTTCACAGTTATCGACCAATCATTTGTTGGAACAGAGCAAGAACTATGGACGGGGGAAGATAAATCATACCATCTATACTTTTTTGTTGAACTTATCTTTTTCAATAATTCTTTGTTTGATAACAAAAACTTTTTGAGCATATAAGTTTAAAAATTGGTCATGACTCAATGATTTATTAACATTAAAAAGGGGCTTTTTTGTTTACAATTAAGTCTTCAACTTGATCCCAAGTAGGGATACTGTCAAGTTTCATCCAACTTAAAGCTTTTAACTCTTACTATTGAGACTAATAACAGGTCAAAGGTTACATAATTTACATAATCTTGGCTTAATTATGATTGTAAAATGAATTAGATACATAAAATTAACATAAGGTAATTTGTTTATCTTTGGGAGAAACATAAATAAATGATCCAGCTTTGCAAATTTTAAATTTGGCTTCACACTCATTCCTCTCTTTCTTAAACCAGAAAAAAGACAAAATTATTGAGTGCAGCGATTCTTTTACTTTAAAACCTTAAATTAAAGGAACTATCTCTTGTGCAGCAGCAACCAAAATACTTTATTATCTTAACGTAATTTATCGGTCACGACTTTCGTTTTTGCAAGTTTAGATGCGCGCGCATTTTTCAATATTGTGTTATCAAGAGAAGAGAACACGTGCTGTGTGAGCATTTTCAATAAATTGTTAGTGACTAAAAACATTTTACATTTAGTTTTTACATTTTCAGCTCTATACATTTAAGTATTAAAATTTAAGTATTAAATATCGAATTTTTATAAAAATTAAAAAATCCTCCAAAAAGATGATATGTGTTTTTTTCTGAAATTCCCCGAGCCTTATTTTTTGCCTTAAAATCCGGAGATCTCCGGACAAATCCGGAGATATGGCAACCCTAACTGTCATTAACCAAGCATTTGGCGGAATATAGCAAGAACTATAAATAGGGGAAGATGACTCATATCAACTATAAATTTTTTCGTTCAACCCATATTTTTCAATTAATCTTTGTTTGATAACAAATACTTTTTGAACTCATAAGTTTTAAAATATGTTATGGCACAATGATTTACTATGATTTCATAAAAAGGAGCTTTTTCATTTAAAAATCAAATTAAGTCTTCAACTTGATCCCAATTAGGGATACTGTCAAGTTTCATCCAACTAAAAGCTTTTAACTCTTAGTATTGGGACTATCTTTGTGAGAAACAGATATAATCCAGCTGGCCAAATTTTCAATTTAGCTTTACAATCATTTCTCCCTTTTCTTAAACTATAAATTATTTTTTTGGACAAAATTATTGATAGTGCAGCAATTCATTTACTTTTTAAGCTTTTAGTTTAAATTCAAGGAATAATCTCTTGTGTAGTAGCAACCAAAATATTTTATAACATAATTTAACAGTGGCGCCTTTTGTTTTCGCGACTGGTATTTTTCAATATTGTGTTATGAAGAGATAAGAACGTGTGTTGTTGTCAGTTAAAGTTTAACTAATACTACTTTAACCACCAACTCAACGCAGGACAGTCCTAAAAAGGATGCACTGAAGGTACATTTTATGTTTAAATAAAAAACCAGACCGAAAAAGTTATATGCCGCAGATTCATTGTTGTGCAAACTAATGTTTTCGTACAACTGATATCAACATTTATAGAGAAATTTTTAATAGTTTAAATTTTACTTTTTTACTATTGTTACGATATTGTTTCAGAATTTATAAAATAAAAAATGAACTGATTTGAAAAATCTTAAAGATTTGAAGGTGTATTAAGTAAGTATATATACATGCACACATGCAGTTTATATGTATATTAGTAATATACATATAAACTAATATTTGTAAATATAATTGTAATATTATTACAACTTTCAAATTGTAATATACACATAATAACAACAACAATAACAAAATATTTATCAGTAAATATTGTACAAAGGTGTTATATAACATAGTACCTACAGGGTTACGGTCACTCTTATAAAGCCTGGCTAAAATGAGGAGAGCGACATAAACAATTCAAATTCATAAAAGGCATGGACACGAAATTAAACAAGTTTCAGAAAATAAAAAACAATAAATAAAAACTCAAAGAAAAGCAAAAAATAAAGTATATATATATATATATATATATACATATATGAATATATCGCTATAATACTTATAAAAAACCGGCGGAGGTGAATTTGGTTCACGGGATTAGGGGAGGGTGGCATTTCTTGGTGAAATTCTATTAAAAATTGGCTAAAATAATTCAGCGTTTTAATCACACGTACTAATTTTATGGTAGACTTTCCTTTAAAAGCTCTGCAATTAGTGGCTGGAATTTTTCACAAAGTAAGCTAAAGACTCTTCATTTCTATGAACTAAATAAAAAAAGTCTAAAAGATATTAACTTATTTTAAATTATTTTTCTTAAATACTACTCAATCTTTATTCCAAGATAGTTAGCACGTTTAAGGGAAAAAAGTTTTTTACCGTTTAATTTTATTTTAAATTATGTATTGAAATTCAAGAATATATTTTTTTATATATTCAATAATATATTTCAATGAATTATATTCAAGAATATATTTTAATGTGGGCTGTATTCTGTAAAAATACAGTCCACATTGCCTTACAGCTATTTGTAAAAATATATTCTTACATTTCAGTTTTTTTACTACTTAAGTTTTACAGTTTTTAGCTTTTTGTTAAGATAACTGTTTCTGGTTTGTTTATAAGCAAACCGGATGATAAGGCTTATAAGCAAACCATAAATTATTATAGCAGCTGCTATAATAATTCATGTTAAATTGAGGACTATCTTCTCACATGTTAACTTGGAAGCATTTTTCATAATTTGTTCATTTTTTGGCCATGTTTGTCATGAACAAATTTGTCAAATATATTTTGAGAATTGCAAATATATCTTATGTTTTTTGCTTTTTTTAAGACTAAGACCTTGGCGTAAGCAAAGAAATTCTATAATTATATTGTCAAATGAAATTTGATCAGAAGGAGATTTTTGAACCTTTTGTTAATCAGAATAATATATTGTGTGATGCAAGTAACATATCTGAATCTAATTGTTTTTTGTCACGAAAAGCTGGAAATCCTGATTAAAAAAATGCAAATGAATTGTGTTCAGATAATACATTTCCTCTTCAATACAATTTATCTAAGTGTGAAGGTGTTTCTTCACAAACAAATAATGCTAATGATGCTGATTTTGAAAATGATTATGGTCTTTGTTCAAATTTAGTTTGTGAAAATAGCTCAATCAGTTCCATATTAGATGATGAACATCAATTTGACAAAAAACTTTGGAGAGATATAAAATCTTTGCCTTTAAAACACTCTTTGACAAGACAATATGTTTATGATTTGATCAGAATTTTTATCAAAAAAAGTTGTTCCTTGTCAAAAGATTGTCGTATGTTATTAGGCACAAAAAAAATCAAATATTCAATTGCAAAATAATAATGGAGAAAATATTTGTTTTAGCATAAAAAGCAATTAAGAAAGACTTTTAACTCTTTATAATCATAATTGAGGAAAAACAAATCTGAAAATAAATATTGATGGGATCCCATTATGGAAATCAAGTTCCAATTAACTTTGGCCAATTATGGTCCAGTTTTAGTCCTATTGTTGTCGGGGTTTTTGCTGGTAACAAAAAACCAAATGTTGAAGTTATTCTGTTTGATTTCATAAAAGAGTTAAAAGAACTAGTTGCTAAACCTGTTAAAATAAATGGCAATCACTATGAGATATTCATATTTTGTTTTACATGTGATGCACCTTCTAGATCTATGTTAATAGGTATAGTACAACACACAGGGTATTTTTCATGTGAGAGATGTACCATGAAAGGTTCAAGAAAAAATCATCGAATTGTGTTTAATGACCAAGATGATAAAGTTGTTTTATGTACCAATGATTTCACTGACGATGTTGAGCATGTTAGATCCAACCTACATGATGTGTCTGCATTCCAGTTTGAAAATTTTTTACAAAAGTGAAACGTCTGATATGTGGTAAGCATAACCCAGTTTCCTAGATTGCAAATAGGTTTAATGAGCTTAAAGATGTATCTTATTTAAAAGAGGATTTCGCATCAAAGACCAATATAGGATTTAAGGATTCCTGCTTTTTGGTTAACAATGGTGTTGTATATATTACTGAAAAAAGATCTGATGGAAGTTACAGATGCCAGTTTTATAATGATTTACATGGAATCCTTTTTCCATTGTTTTATTGATTCAAAAGAATTAAACATTTATAATGTTAAAAAAAAAACCTTCTATTTATTGCAGAAAACAGAAATCAGACTTGATTAGAAAATGTGCGAGTTTACCATACAAGAGTGGTTACATTGTAATTCCTCTTCTAGAAGTTAATTTTGTTTATGCTGTGTATATTGTTATCTTAGTCAAGATTATTGTATGTCTATTTTGTGAAAAATTTAAATAAATAAAAGAATAAAAGAGTCAACAATTTAATTATTAAATAATGTTAAAAACAAAATTTTATTAGAAAAATAATAAATAAATACTCTTTTTTTTTTTAAGTGGATATATACTGGTTATGCATCTGACATCATTATTTATAAGATTATTTTTCCATTGATTTTATTCATACTTAAAATTAAACAATAATTTTAATATTTCTCTTATAATAATTTTGAAATAGTTCTGCTGAAACTGCCAAGCAAGTTAGAACTCAAAGCTATTTATTTATAGTATTTATATAATTTAGGACAAATAAATATACCACTAAATTATTTATAATTGATAACAAATACTTCTTAAAAGCTTCAAGAAAGTTATCATGAAGTCAGGGGTGTATCTGCTAAGGCCGATTAAGGCTAATAATAGGTTTAATGTATTTATTTAAAGGTATTTTAATAATATTAAAGGTTTAAATTACATATTCAATATGTACCTATTCATCAGAAGCGATTCGACCTTTTAACCTATGCAATTAGTAACCAGCAACCAATTTATCGGCTAAACCATTGGCCGATTAATCGGCTGGTGGCATTGGTTGAATAATCAGCATTTTCAAATGCATCAGCATTGGATAATAAGCCAAATCAAACTGGTGCATAGGCATACCTTATATATACAAATTGCATACCTAGTATTAGGGTATTATCTTTATAAACATACATTAAACCCTATTATTAGCCTCAATCTGCCTTAGCCGATGGCACATCACTAGTGAATATATTACTAATTCTTTTATATTTGTTTAACTTAATGATAGAATATTTTTCTCTCTTTTTTTTATATGAAACAATAGTAAGCATGTTTATTTACCAAAATAATTTTTAGTCAGCTTTGGTCAGCTATGGTTATTATTGAAAACAAGCAAAAAGTTAAAACTGTTGCACAGCTTCCATGGGTGGATTTAAAAATTATGATTTTATACTGGCCACCAAAACACAAAGTGTTAAGTTTTTACATTTCTCAATGGTCTGCTCCTGAGAGCAACTGGACAAAGTTTGTTATAGTAAAGGTTTTATTAGAGTCCGGGCTAAAATCAGTGGCACAAGATATAAGTTTTCTTTCAACTACAGAGAATGAAACAGAAGTTGACTCTGAAGAAAGTGATTCAGAAATTGAAGAGAAAAGTGGTTTGTTTATTTAATTAACTAAAAATTCATTAATTCTAAATTTACTAATTATCTATGTTCCATATTGCATTAAAATTTTTGAAATGTTGGTCAAAAAAAAATTACTGCCCTACACTATCCGACATGTAAAAATTATTATTATTTGTTTTTATTTATATAAAATTTTATAAAATGCCTACTTGTCTGTTTTTTTATAAATTTTCTTAATAAAAATTAGACGAGTAGGCATTTTTTTATTTTAGTTTTTGTAATTGTGGTTATAACCCTGTTTTAACTTTTTAACTCCAAAATGAACTAGACAGCAGCATAAGACCAGAAAAATATATAGTATTATTAATGTTGTTCCAAGAGCATATTGTTTTTAATTTTGTTAAGAAAATAAAATATAACTTATTGCATTTTATTTTGTTCACTTTCATAATGCTGTATAAAGATAAATGTGTTGCAAGTCCTGTTCTAAAACGCAAGCACTCAATGCCTCTAATACAAGAAGAATGTACCTTTATTTCCACAACTGAAAACCTCCTCCATACACCAACAAGTAGCTCAAAAGGTGAAAAATTATATTATGTCTTATTTTAATTATTTTAAACTATTTGTTATCTACAGCCTGAACCTCATTTTTAATAAGAGTTTTACAATTTATTTATTTATTTATTTTTTTGTCAAGTTTTCTTTAATTAATGTTCCTATATATAAATATTTTTTAGTATTTATTTTAGAAACCAATTCTAAAAAGTTGTTTTCAATATGTCCATCACTGCCAAGAGAGTCTTTTTTGATAAATCCGATAACATCAACAAAAAATACCTGCAGGAAATTTAAAACATACACTTATGGTGGGACCGCTTTTTAAAGAGATGTCCACTAAACGTAATAATTTTATTATATATTAACAATTATTAATTTATTATATATATTAATTAATAATAATTTTCGATTGTTGTATGAAATGTTTGTTTACCTTCAGGTTGCTAATAGACATGGCGTAGAATAGACAAACTTAATGTTGTCTGGGGTCTGGGGTTTAGATGATACTAAAAAAATAAACACTGAGAAAGTAAATTCAGTTGATTAGTATTTCAATGTTTTGCAACTACATCCTCTAAACAATTTTCCTGCAATTTTTGCTACCCTATAATAAATTCGGTGGCCCCATACCTATTATAGATTCGATGGCCCTCTGGATTTTATCTACCTTATAATGATGCCTTTGATCATGGTATCATACTATGATCAAAGGCATCATTAACCTAATACTTTAGTTCCTTTAATCATGGAACTGAAGTATTAGGTTATTTTTTTAATGTTTATTTTCTTATAGAATTTCAATACACTGTGCTTATGCGGCTAGCAAAATTAGAAGAAAATCAAAAAGACATTTATGAAACACTTGGATTGTTTCAAGATAATGATATGGCGGCCAATAGTTCAAGCAGTTTAGAAGTGCTTCGAAGCACTGAAGAATTTGAGGCAGAGGAGAGTAAACTCAAAGACAATGCATATCTCTAAAAGAATGTTATTTTAAACACTTACATTTATTTTAAATATTTACACTTACAGTTATTTTAAATATTTGCAGATTTATAAATTTTTATACTAGTTCATTTAATAGATTAAGATTAAAATAAATAGATTAAGGTTCACAAGTTATTTTAAGTATCAAGCTTATATGAAATATTTTCAAAAAATAAACTTCATTATGTACGAATAGCTTCAAAAACAAGAGAGAAAAAAATTTAAATTTTTTATTGAATATATTGATTTAATTTTTGTATTTTCTAATTTCCATAGAAAAACAAGATAAAAGAAATTAGCGGAAAAGACGAAAGAACAGCAGTTAGGCTTGCTCTTGATGCAATAATGTTACGAGAAATACAGGATAGCTTTAGTCTGTATAATTTGAAGAACAAGCAGTCTTTTTCAAAGGCACTTCACTATTTGTGTTTAACAGGTATGTGAATGTAATAATAGTTAATAATAGTTGTTTAAATTATTTTTGAGCATAAATTATGCTAACAAAATTTTAAGGTTAACGCCAGTTTTTCCATTATGCTTCTTGTTAAAAAATGTTGTCAGTCCTCATGGCGCAAGACAGTTATCAGCGATATACAAAAGGCGTGCTTAATCACTTTAAAAACCATTTAAATTCAGTTTTTTGCACCTTTAGAAAGCTAATTATATTTTTATTGACATAAAACTAATGTTTGTATTCAGATCTGTGATTTAGCAGTTTTGTTGTTTCTCTTTTTCTTGTGACTATTTTTTTGAATATTTTGTGTTGTAGGTGCTCTACTTAAGCACGAGCAGCAAGGAAGATAATCGTAAAGATCGGTTAGATTATCACATTAGTGATATTTTGAAACGAGCCGTTCGAAACAAAGCAATTAGAAGTCCGAAACCTGTTGATACATAATAGATAAACGGGCCTTCTCATATAAAACTCGTTCGTTCTTTGTGGCTTCACATCAGACAAGCAAGATTATTTAAGATTGCTTTGTTTTTTGATTTTGTAAATAAATTTTTCAAATTCATAACCCGCTTTTTAATTTTTCTTAAACTAGCGCATGTATACACAACCAACATAATCTAAAACAATTCTTTATAAGAATGAATGTTTTGTATAAATGCAGAATTATATATTATTATATTATATTTAGCATTGTAAGGTTATATATAATTATAAAATTTAAACTTGATAATAATATATAATACTTTTATGAAAGTAGCACTTATAACTAGAGGTGTACCGGATATGATATCCGGCCGGATATGTAATTTTTGAGATTATCTCTTATCCCACTTGTGTACATACTTTTATAACAATTAGGAATTAACTGTTTTGAGTAATTTAGTTAATAAAAGTAATAGTTAAGTAATATAGTGAAATAATATACCATAGTATGTTTTTTCAATATAATAGTAATCGCACACAAATTTAACTTTTGAATGAATGAACGTTTGATCACTATTTCTCACTAATTTTTCACTATAATTCACTAATCCCTTCTAAATTTTGGAAAAAGAAAATAGGAAACGAAAACTTTTGAAGAAGAAAGTAAAGGCTTTATTACAAATAAAAATAACAGTTACAGTAACTTAAAAATGTATGAGTATAATATTATACTTCATATATATATATATATATATATATATATATATATATATATATATATATATATATATATATTATATATATATATATATATATCCTTATTTGACATAAGTATAAATATATATATGTTTGGAGTTTGCTCCATGTCTGGAAGTTAGCTATCTCAAAAACCAAAAAATACTAGCGCTGGCCCTGATTATAAGCTACATTTACTATAAATAATATGTTAACTTTTATATAAAAGTTAACATTTTTTAAGTTAGTTATTTTCAAACTTAGTCGTATATAACTATAGTAAATGTAGTTGTATAAATGTATTTTATGTAGTTTTATTAGTTACAAAATGTTTATATCTTAATATTAATTATTTATTACATATAAATAGCGTAAGCGGCCGTCCATAAAGTCTATTTATGACCCCCCCCCCCCCGTCCTTGTATGATACGTCCCCTTGTCTCTTTTTCCCCTTGTTATCTTGACCTTCTTCTTTCTCCTTTTTACCAAGGACGTATTAATAGATGGACGTTTAACGTATTGTTTAAAAGCCAAGATATCCGCGCTATTCATTGTTACAAATAACAATAGCAAAACAATAGAGAACTATTTTTAACTTGAGTATATTTTTACTTGATTTTACGTCAAAATAACGATAGTCTCGTCTAGCCTTAGAAATATTTAAACATTCCATTACACCTAAAAAATCTAAAAAGTTTTTAAATAAATAAAACCTTTTCATTATATGATCTATAAACTCAAGCGAAATCTTTATATGGAAAAAAAAAGTTAATCACAGAAAAATATTAAAACAAAGTTTTTAGTGAGACAAAATTTCCGACAAAAATGAGAAATTTAAATACTTAAAATAATAGTGAAAACTAAGTGTAGGGAATAGAGACCACAAGTAATCTATAGTTCGATCTATATATTATCTACAGTTTTACCTACAACATCTAGAAAATTCGTTTCACTTTGAAGTATTCATTCTTGCAAACTAAATATCACTTTTTTACAAAAATATGATTTTTGACGTTTAAGTTTTATTAATAATAAGTTCTTATTAAAAAGCGCTCACGTATCAAATTTGACATTTTAAAACAGATGAGCTATTTCTGTATAACTATTATGCATTAATTTTTTAAAAATGTTATAGTTTTGTAGGTAATTGTACTTTTTAAAAAAAGTAGTTAGAAAAGCGAAATTATCTGAAAAACGTCGGTTAACTTTTATAAATTATTCAGAAAAATGACGCTAAAAATTATAGCTCGCATAGGTTTTTGTTTACTTGCGGCGCCTCAGATCTATAAAAATGGGTTAAACGTCCATCTATTAATACGTCCTTGCTTTTACGTAACATTATTTATAGATGTAATATTTGCAACCTAAAGCTTATTAAGATTTAAAAAAAATAGTTGTTCTAAATAAAAAATGTTATATTCAGCTTAACTAAAGTAGCGTACGCTACTTTAGTTACATAGGCCCGAAACCGGGTGGGCATTTGCCCCCCCCCTCCCTTCCCCTAATAATTTTTCAAATGAATAATTTTGAAGAAATTGACTGAAAAAATGGGTAGTACTGCCCAACCCCCCCCCCTCTAATATAATTTTTGTTTCTACGGCCTTGTTACACCCATAGTTAAATTCTTCTATTTTAAAAATTCCTAGAATTCCTACAAAAAGACGCCATTTTAAACTATTCCCTTAAGTTCAGATAAAACTGGATAAACTCAAGTCTAAGTAATATTTAAGAATGCCGATCGCGGCAACAGTTAGGGGGCATCACTAGGGGAGGGGGCACCACTAGAAACCTTGTCCACTCTTATTCTTTTACAATATTTAACATACCTGGTATATCCGGCCGGATATATAAATTTATATCCGGCATGCCGTATCCGGCCGGATATATAAAAAATCATATCCGGAACACCTCTACTTAAAACTCATTAAGCCTTTTAACTGAAAAGGTATGGGTTATAACTCATGTAAGTCTTACTCTTAAGGGTAATTTAAACTTTAACCAAAATCTGATGTTTAAAATGAGTTTAGCCAAAAAATATTTTTAACTGCTTGAAGGAACCGGAACTTGCTGAAGACGTCCGTAGGACGTGCTTTAGACATTCTTTAACGTCGTCCTTAGGACGTCCCTTTAAGTCCCCGTTGGACGGACAAAAAGTGCTTCATTTGGTACGTCTAGAGGTGAGACGTTCCAAGGACCAAAACGGAGCTATTGCGGACGTCGTTTAGCCCACTGGGTACTCTTTTTAAAGAATAATTTATTGTGTTTGTCAAACGCGATATCATTCCACTTGTTAAATGAAAACTTTCAAACAAATCTATAATAGAAAAATGCAAGGCAACCTCTTTTTTATCTCTGCAAGGCAACCTCTTTTTTATCTCTGCAAGGCAACCTCTTTGTTATGCAATGCATTACAAAAAAGATGCCTAAAAGTATGGTGTTCCAAAGAATAAAGTATCAACCTGGGTTAAATATAAAAACAAATTATCAACTGAAAAAAAATCTAAACGGAAGAAACTTTGCAGTAGTAATTTCAAAAAATTCATCGCAGAATGAAGTCACACATGTACCAGCATTAGACTTTTCAAACGTATGATTAAAATTAAATTATTCTGCTTTCATTTTTAGAAACGGCACCAGCTTTGAAACAATCTCAAGCGAAAGTCAAATAAGAAGTTTGATGAATTTATTGGAAAAAAACCCCTATTGTGTATATCAAATGAAAAAATATTCTATAAAGAATTTAACGAAGCTCTGACTAAACTAAAGCGAAATAAGTCATGCGGATATGATGACATTACTAGCAATGTAGCAAAACACGTCGTTGAATGTATTATAAAACCCTTATTTCATCTAATATCGTCTTCTTTTGAACACAGTACTTTTCCTGATATGCTAAAAATTGCTAAAGTCAACCCTGTTTTTAAAAATGGAGATTGTAATAATATGTCTAACTACCGTCCAATTTCCCTCCTACCAGTGTTCTCTAAAGTTTATGAAAAAGTAATCTACAATCGAATTTATAACTACTTGAAGTTAAACAAACTTTTATATGAAAATCAATTTGGATTTCAAAAAAGTTGCTTAACAGAAAATGCTATCATTGAACTTACTAATAAAATGTACTGGGAGTATTTATAGACCTTTCAATGGCATTTGATACAGTTGACCACAACATCTTACTATCAAAATTAAAACATTATGGTATCAAAGGACTAGTGTATAAGTGGGTAAAAAATTATCCGAGTAACAGAAAGCAGTTTCTAATTAACAAAGAGTCAAGTGTTCTTGTTATTGAGTGTGGGGTCCCTCAAGGCTCAATCTTAGGACCGTTATTGTTTTTAATTTACATCAATGATATGCATAAAGCATCATCTGTAGTATTTTCAATAATGTATGCTGATGACACAACTTTATTTTATAATCATAGTAATTTAAAATCAATGTTCAAAACAATGAATACTGAACTGGAAAACTTTAATTTATGGCTTAGACCAAATAAACTATCCTTAAACTGTGAAAAAACTAACTACATCCTATTTCATAAAACAGGTCAATCAATGACTTTACCGTTAAAAGTTCCAAAATTGCTCATTAACAACGTAACAATAAAACGGAAAAAATAAGCAAAGTTTTTTGGTGTTCATATTGATGAAAATTTTATTATGGAGAAATCATATAGGACACATTGAAACAAAAATATCATTTGTAATAGGTATTTTATATAAATGTCGCCCGTTTCTTGATTTCTGTTATAGAAAATAACTTTACTTTAGTCTAAGTCATCTCACATATGCTAATATAGTGTGGGCTAATATACACAAAACAAAATTATTCAAACTACAAGGCTTGCGAAACCATGCTTGTAAAGCAATTTATTATCTAGGTAGAATGGACAATCCTTCCAATGCAATAACAAATATAGTAATAGTAGTAGTAATTAATGCTGTTGAGATAAAGCGCGAGGCAATATCTATGACACCCGGTATAAATTAATTATATGAAATTAATATGAAAGTCTTAAACTTGGAAAAACTTAATTTATATCAAACTCTGATTTTGATGTTTAAATATAAAAATAATATGCTACCGAATTCTTTTTTAGACATATTTTCGTCATCATTTTCTCAAAGTTATAACCTGCGATCAAATAGCTTCAATAACTATTATATTAAAAAAACTGAGTTTTCAATTATGTCACAGAGTCCCAAAAAATGGAAAAACTTGAAAAATCAAAAATTAAAGAACTTAAATGGAATATCGTCGTTTAAACGGCAAGCAACGCTGCATATTCTTAGTTTGTAAAAATAATTATAACAAATTAAAAAAAAAAAATTAAAAAAAATAAATAAATAATAATAAATGTATGTACGTATGTGTGTATGTATATATATATATATATATATATAT